CTCAATTTTTTTGTATGAACCTTCTATCTTAAGGACAAATATTGTTTTTATCCCTCGTTATTTTATATAATTTAACAATGGAAAAAAATGATAACTATATCATGTATGTCAAATTATTTTACCTTGTAAAATCAAACTATGCAAGAATATCTAACAGTTTTCATTATACCTCTCTCTCCTATAAAATCAGATCAAAGAAACAAAAATTGACCAATCAAAGAGACAAAAATAAAGAAGAAAAAAAATTAAAATAAAATAATCATCATACATGTCTCAAAATAGGTTTTTATAAGTGTGATTTTATGAAGTTATACATTTGTAATAAATTCAACTCTTAATTAATTTAGTAATGTCTCTAACTCCTAACCTTTCATATTCATAAACTTCAAATTATTTAATACAAATTTATAACTTCATAAAATCACACTTAGAAAAACCTATTTTGAGACATATAATTATTACGTCGTAAATCAATAACATTGAATTTAATTTTTTCCTTCTTACTTACTTTCATGGTTTGGTTTGATTTTTTTCCCAAGTTATAACATAATTAAGTGACTTTTTTAATTATAAAATAGAGTTGTATAGCTTTATGAAATAATTATCATTAGTGACATTTATGTTACAAAACAAACTGGACTGGCTTTTTATTATAAAATAAAATAAAATAATTTTTGAGGATATCTTTATTTTACAAAAACAAAGTTTATAAAAATATTATTTGAGAGACTATATATAAACTTAACTCTATATATATATATATATAAATACATATACTAGGGCTCAAGTTAGGGTATCAAAAAAGTTTATCAGCGATGTATATTGATAATAATACTCAAGGTAGTGATTTCCTTCATCTTTTTTTTTTTTTTGGATCGTTACTTGTACTTGTTTTTTTTTTCTTTCTTTTGTCAATGATTTTACACTATTACTACTACTACTAGATATTCGTAGAATTGCATTGGGAATGTAGGGTTTGAAATCTTTCGTGTTTATTTTTTCTGTGTGGTTTGTGGGTTATTACATTAGAGCGGGGTTTATGCGAACCCGAAGGTAGCAAGTGTGTGTTTTGGTTTGGTTGGGACAAGCTAGGATGTCAGGATCCCAATTAGAATTAGGATCCGACTGTAAATTGCAATTTCAAAAGTAAATCAATTCAGTTTTTTTGGGACAATTTTCTCTAATTCATATAAACTGGAAAAATGGATTTCTAATACAAAGAAATTGAAAAACTAATTAAATCTAAGATAACGAGGGAGGAATTGGTTTACCAGAAGTTCGTTGTTGTATTCTCTCCAGTTTATAACAGCCTTCAGATAACGTGGCGGGATCTTGACCCTTGTGCCTCATTAAGTGGAATTTAATCTTGATCGTTTATTTTGGAAGTAGTTACTCTACTTCCACGATTCAGCTTCGAATTAAGTTATACTAAGTAAGATCATTATATATCCCGGATTGATTATCCTCTTATCCATGATTGTTATCCAATTAAAGTAACACTATAATCTCGATTAGTTCGATTGGTTATCCCGTACGAGGTCTTAATGTAATTCTACTAGTCAGGTCTCTCCCAAGCTCTTAGGGTTAGACAGGCAGGCACATCTTACTTATAGATAGACTCTTGGCGGCTCAAAAGAAGTGTAGAAATTAATTGTAATAACAATATTATCCAACACAAGTGCACTTATGACGGGTAATTTTGTGTGGAGCTTCGTACTTTTATAATAGTATAGATTAAAAGATAGAACTATTAATATATTTCCAAATATCCAATAAAAGTGGAAACTTAACTTTCTTACACAAGTACATTTGGACGGAAAGGTGTGGTGTAATGGTCAATTAAGTGGTTGAGAACCATGAGGTCTCAGGTTCGAATCTCAGGGGAGACAAAAAAAACACTAGATGATTCTTCCCATCATTAATAGGATCATAGCCTTAGTGGACAGAAGTGGGAGGTGCTCGGACACCATGGTCATCAAAAAAAATGTATTAATATGCTTGAAATATGTAACATTGTCGCAAAATTTGCTTGAAATTTTAATGATGTAACCAATCAAGTTTTTTACACTCTACAGTTCAGATGGAAAATGCAAATGGAGCTGATTGGCAGGAAGAGGTATACCAAAAGGTATGGTTTGCACTGGTACTTTTAATTTGCACAAGATTTTGAAAATTGTGGAAATTTGATATGTGGATTTTGATAAATTGGCTAGTTATAACATTATAAAGAAATAGTTGAATGTTTCGACATATTTCCTATGATTATAGAGTAATAGAAGAGGTTTACCGTACCAAGTGTTCAGCTAAATTCATGACCGTACCCCTCCACTCAAGGTGCTTTATGTATTCAATTTCTTAGAGGAAATAGAAATCTGAGCATGTTAATAGGTAACTTGTTAGAAACGAGCATGAATCCTCGCTGTCAATGGTGCTTGTTTAAGCCTGTCTTGGTCCAATATTGTCAACGACAAAAAATTAGTCTCACATGCACTGGCATAACTTAGAAGTGGAGCATATTTGATAAATTAATTGATTACAGTAACCCGGCAACTAAAATCTTTAATTGCTAGTTTGAAGATAAACCTATTTGTGCAAGAAGTATATACCTGAATATATGGCTATATGAAGATGTTTTTTGTGAAAAGACATTCGTTCATCTGTATTAGTTGGTATACTTTTTCTGTTTTTTATTTTATTTCTTACAATAGAGAATTCAATGCTTCGTCTTCGAAAATCGTCTTTCTCTACTTACGCGACTTGGTTTACTAGCTAGTAATAAGTTGGAATACTTTGACTTCTCCAAGAATAAACATATAACACTAACATGCTCTGTATTCTCCATTCCGTCGTTTTTCACTTGTCAAGCCAACAAAGAACATTACAGCATAAGATTACTAAGAAGCATAGGTTTCCAACTAAACAAGAAAAATAATTAGGTGCTAAGTAATTTGGTAATCAACCTATGATTGTTACTAGCTTTCCTAGATCCTTTCAGTAAGTCTAATTTTTCTATAACTTCTTTCTTAATCTGTACTAACATTATATCAGTATTCACCAATGATCCTCTAAAAATCTTCGAGTTCCTTGCTTTCCATGTATGATAGATCACTGCTCCCCGAATAGCTGTGATGAAACTGCTTCCAGTTCTTCCTCTTTATGCCTTCCAGCACTTTCTGAACCTCACCCTTAGTTATGGTTAGTCCTACTCACTGTTGGATGCTATCTCTCAATGTCTCTATCCAAGATGTGTAACTGAGTCTCCAGAGATTGACTTTTTTTGTAAGTAGTCTACCTTGTACAGCCAACCACACAAAAAATCGATGCTTTTGCTGTGAAAGTGCTGTCCAAATGAGTTCTGCAATATTTAGTCTGCTCTGCTGCCCCAACATAGCATTAAAGTTCCCTGTAATAGAATATTTGGACTCACCAAACACCGCAAGACTGCTGTTGGTATTGGAAAAAGATTAATGCTTTGAAGGAGATGACCGGACTTTGATCTAGTGGTAAGAGTGTAATATTGGACGTACTGGATTAGGCGCATCTCACAAAAGTTAAGTATTTAAGTGGAGAAGGGTAGAGAATCAGACGTGTTATCCACTAAGAACTGTGCCCCTAAAAAACCCATGTTACAAGCACCCTCTCTGTAATGAACCTCCCTCTTTTACCAGAAAAGGCGTTGTTCCAAGCAGAGGTAGAGCAGAGCACCAGCCCCGAAGTGTTCTTACTTTATTAGTAACTCACATCAGCATTGAGATCTCACGCACGGCCAGCTGCTATGACACTCCAATTCAGCAGGAAGCGGCCCCACCTTCCTCATAATCAACCTGTGGGAAACCAAGTTCTATTAGTGGTCCTTCCAACCTACGTATGTCTTATTTAGGGATTTAGTAGCAAAAGAAAGACCAATAATCCATCTGAGTATGAAATACATTGATGTTAGGAGGTAATACACGTCTGGTAATGTAAGAAATCAAGTTCTATTATTGGTTCGTCCAACCTCTTCTACTTCACTTTTAACCTTTTTATCCGGAGGTTCTTTTGTGAAGATTCTCTAGTTTGTTTCTCTACTACATCGTACAGTTGATCTAATTATCATCTAACCACATGGGAATGCATTCTTGACATCTCCGCAATTGACTTATTGAAATTTGTAATGCACTTTTAACCTTTTTATTTGGAAGGTTCCTTTGTGAAGATTCTCTAGTTTGTTCTCTACTGCATCGTACATTTGATCTAATTATCACCTAACTACATGGGAATGCATTCTTGACATTTCTGCATTTGACTTATTGAAAAATTTTAATGCAGATCAAGTATATGAAGGAGATGTATTTATTAGACCTCAATGATTTATACGAGAAAATTGCTCATAAAGTGCAGCAGGTTAAACCCCCCCCCCCCCCCAAGTGCTTCATCATAGTTCCAAATTTTGGTTGACTCCCTTGCAAGTTTCATCAAATGACACACCATCATTTGCATATAGCATTCCTAAGGTGTAATGCATATTGTAATCTATTGGTTACTGGAAACTCCTCAAACTGGAAACTGATGCAGAACGCTCAAAACACTAAATTCTCATTTTGGCTTCTTTAATTTGGTTCCTTTCCTGTCGATTGTCATCTTGAGAAACAGTGCTCTCATAGTTGTAATGCGGCTAATTCCTTTTCATTTCTAGCATCTGCATCATTTGTTTGTGTTGAATTTTTCTGTTAGTTTGTTTTGCTTTCGGGGAAGGAATTAAGGCCTCCATTCTTTGGTCAAGGGCTTGATTTATCTTAATTTAAAAGCACTTGGATCAACATTCTTCCGAACTGTGTGAACCTTGTGAGCTATGTTATTTGTCTCTTTATGTCATTTCTTAAAGTTTACTCCCTTTTTCGTTGCCATGGGAGGTACTTGAAGCATGAATTTCAAAAGTTTGCTAAGGAAAAGAAACAGGACTATGACTAAACTGATTTTTTTTGTGATTTTATGCATGACTCTCTTCATCAGCATCTTGAAAATGAGATGATTGAAAAGGTCAAGATGTATAAGATAATGCTGGAACGCATTATGCTTTTTTTGCGGCTTAAAAAGCAGGATATTCAACTTATTCATAAGGAAAAACTGGTCTCGGTTGAGAAGAACATAAGTAAGTTTCTTAGTTCCAATTTGGCACGCAGCAAGACTTCTTCTTCTCCACAGCAGGGGCAACTTCATCAGTCTTCCATGCAGCTTCAGCAACCACAATCTCTTGGTGGTCAAACTAATCCACCGATGCAGCCCGTACAGGGTTCCATGGAGGCAATGCAACAGAGTTATCTCACCAACTTGCAACATTATTCCTTGTCTGGCGTATCGACAATATCCAATTCTCAACAACACATGATAAATGTGGTAAAACCTGGTTCCAGATGGGATTTGGGACAGGGTAATTCGTTGAACTCACCGCAGCAGGTGGCTACTGGATCCTTACAACAGAATCCTGTTAACAGTCTTCAACATGATAATATAAGCTCATTCAGTACACCAGGTGGAATGAACCCTGTACAGGCAAACCTCGAATCCCTACAGCAAAACTCAAGCGCGCTGCCTCATTTACTTCCTACACAGCACGAGCAGCAAATGTTGCAGAACCAACAATTAACACCCCTGTGCAACCAGCTACTGATGCAGCAACAACTTTTTCAAAGTCAGCAGTTAATGAAACATCAGCAAGCAATGAACTCACCGCAGCAGTTAATGCAACAGAATAATTTCACCAACTTGCACCATGATTCCTTGTCTGGCGTATCGACAAATTCCAACTCTCAGCAAGACATGATAAATACAATACAGCCTGGTTCCAATTTGGATTTGGGACAGGGTAATTCTTTGAACTCACTGCAACAGGTGTCTACTGGCTCTTTGCAACAGAATCATGTTAACCGTCGTCGACAAGTTAACATAAGATCATTAAGTCCACAAAGTGGAACTAACCCAGTGCAGGCAAACCTCGGTTCCCTACAACAAAATTCAAACGTCCTGCAGCGAATGTCACAGAGCCAGCAAATGTTGCAGAACCAGCAGCTACTTTTGCCAATACAGCAGTTAATGAAACTGCAGCAAATGCAAATGAAAACAGGAATTTTACAGAAACATCACTTAATGCAACAGCAGTCAGTTGGCCAGCGCGTTGGATCTCATCATCCACAAATGAAGTCAGGAATATCTTCACCTCAACTCCATAAGGCACTATCTCCTCAGGTTACCCAACATCCTTCTCCGCAAATTGACCAACAAAATATGTTGGCATCTCTTTCCAAAGCTGGGACGCCTCTCCAATCCGCAAGCTCACCAGTTGTTGTTCCATCTCCTTCAACTCCCTTGGCTTCATCTCCAATGACGGGGGATTCTGAAAAAGTTAGTGCTGGCCTTGCATCACATAACACAGCTGGAAATACAATGCATCAACGAGCTACACTACCGATGGAGTTTGAACCCTACACCTCTACTGTGGAAGGTATGGAGATTTCACCAAGTGAGCTATGCTAACCCTTCAACCCCTATTTATATAGAATAATGAAAATAATGATGAAATTACAATTGCCACAAGTAATTTGCTGAATATTAGCTAAAGAAACTTTTGCAGAATGTATTAATATACCCTGAAATATCTAACATTCTCCCAAAATTTGCCTGAAATTTTAATGGTGTAAGTAATCAGGTTCTTTAATCTTTGTTCTATCCTCAATTTTGTGTTATTTGTAGCACCTTTAGATTCTTCAGCTCAGACAGGAAACACAAATGGAGCTGACTGGCAGGAAGAGGTTTACCAAAAGGTATTGTTCGCAATGGTATTTATTTGTTCAAGATTTTGAAAACATAGGAAATTAGAGATGACTAGCTGGAAATTGAATTTTTTGGCAGTTGATTAGTGATGTGCATTTTGATAAACTAGCTGGTTATGACAATATAAGAAATGGCTGAATGTTCTGAAATATTTTTTGTGATTCATGGTCGTCGTACCCCTAACCCCTAGGTACTTTAAACAGGTAACTTGTAATTAATATAGGCTGATAATATTCTCAATTGAAGAATACTATTACAATGACTACGCCTCAATCCCAAGCTAGTTGGAATCAGCTATATGAATCCTTATTATCCAGTTTGTTTAACTTGTAATTCATGGTGGTCTATGATCACGTTATGGAATTTGTACTCTTTGATGTGAGCAGAAATGTGAACCAAGAAGCTAAAGGAATCAATTTTTTTTTTATCATTCACTTGTTAATCAACTATATAGCCTCTTGGCCACGCTTTGGAAGGCCAAAAGTGCTTCTTTTTTTAAAAAAGTGAGGTGTTCGGCCAAGTTTTTGGGAGAAAATAAGTCTTTTGGTGGAGTAACAAAAGTTGTTTTTTAGAAGCTAAAAAGGAAAGTTTTTCTCCAAAAGTACTCTTTTGAAAAGCACTTTTGAGATAATACACTTTAGAAGCACTTGTTAAAAGCTTGGACAAACACTAATTGCTGCTCAAAAATGTTTTTAAAATTGATTAGTCATATACAGATGTCACCAAAACACTAATTTCTTGAAAAGCATTTTTCAAAATAAGCATATTTTAGAAGCTTGACAAAACATGCTAGTAGTCTCTTTCTCTTATACTCACTTTTAACCTTTTTATCTGGAAGGTTCTTTCATGAAGATTGTCTAGTTTGTTCTCTACTGCATCGTACAATTGATCTAATTATCACATATCCTCATGGGAGATGCAATCTTGACATTTGTGAATTTGACTTCATGAAATTTTGTAACACAGATCAAGTCTATGAGGGAGATGTATTTATCAGAGCTCAATGATCTATACTGGAAAACTGCTTCTGAAATGCAGCAGGTTTGTTTTTTAGCTAAATTTGCATTGATTCCAAGAGAACTTGAGTCCTTTGATATAATTATTATTGATAGATCTTAAGTCTAACTCATCTTTTTTACTACCTTCAATCATCATAATGTCCCACCTATCGATGCCTTCGGACGTCTTTTTAGGATATGTCTGTACCATCTTAGATGAGAGAGCCATCTTAGACGACGATGTCTCATTTTAATCTTTTTGTGTAACTGTTAATTGTTATATAGACATGAATTTGATGTTAGAGTCTCTTTTCCATCACTGAAAGGGATCAAGTACTCCCTAGTGTTTTGGGATTGGGATTGAGCTTGATATATCTGAGTTGTGAAAAGCACTTATGCGAACATTTTGTCGAAACATAGAGTGATAGTTTTTTTATTATTTTTTGGTGGAAGGAAAAATATGTGTTCATTTTTAGTTTTTTTACTATGTTATTAATTTCTTTATGCCTTTTTCTGAAGTTCCCCTCCCTTTTTTCTTGGCCTGGAGGGGTACTTAAAGCATGACTATTAAAAATTTGCATAGGGCAAGAAACTGATTTCGTTCTGATTTTGAGCATGACTCTCTTCCTCAGCATCCTCAACATGAGAAAATTGAAAAACTCAAGATTTTCAAGATGACGTTGGAACGCATTGTGCTTTTCTTGCGGCTTAACAAGTGTGAGATTCAACTTTCTCACAAGGAAAAACTGTTTTCGCTTGAGAAGTACATAACTTTCTTTCTTAGTGGCAAAAGTCCGCACAACCCTACTTCTTCTCCATTGCACGGGCAACTTCCTTAGCGTTCCATCCACACAAGTCAGGTATGCAATCCGAACTTGTTTAGATAATTCAATTGTTTTTCACCTTGTTGAAATTGTTTTCCTCTTGTATTAACATGCATCTACATTTCCACTAGAATTTTTTTTTTTTTTTTTTTTTTTTTAGGGGTGGGGGGGATTGATAACTCGGGACTTGTTATTATTTTCACAGTATAAATCTCTTAAGCTATGAATGATCTCTCGTGTTACTTCTACTTTGTTCTAAGATCTTATGTGTTTAAATAGGAAAGTATGAAGGTCAAATGTTTGAGTAGAAGGTTAGTGGGGAGTCTAGTGTTGTCGTAGTTCTAGTAGTATGATTTAGGTAGCTTGTAGTTTTTTTTTCTCCTATGTGTATTAATATTTGTTGCTACACTTGTTTCTTACATTGCTACTTTGTTCTCTCTTTTTCTATCTTACTTTCCTACGTTTGTTACATATCTTTTGAGCCGAGGGTCTATTAGAAACAACCTGTCTACGATAAGGTTTGCATACATCCTACCCTCCCCTGATCCCACTTGTTGAATTACATGGCTATGTTGTTGTTGATCTCCTTGGTTTCGTTCTAAGGTTTTTTGTGTGTAAAGTTTACAATCTCTCGCAATTTACTCGTAAGTTACTAATCATATGTTGCACGTTATATTCTACGCAGGCACAAGATATATATGCACATCAGCCGCCTATGTTGGATTCCAGTTGGCAAGATATTACTTCTGAGCTTGATAGATTTCTGTGTTTGATTGATTAGATGGTAGTTATGATGGATTGTGTTATGTATGGAATGGTTTTGGTACTTTTGGTATTGATAGATAGATTGGGTTGTAATTTTGATGGATTGAGTTTTGGTACTAAACTTGATGAGCGTTGAGCACACGAATAAGGGGTTATGTAAAGTACTCTTGAACCCATGTGGATTATTTAAAGTACTCGTGAACCAACTTATACATCCTTCCCTAGATTATTTAGAAAGCACCACAATTGTTCTGATAAATTACTTAAATTTTGTGGGAACCTCGGTTAAAATTCAAAATATCCATCTCTAATTTTTTCTAATGTTTGAATCTTGCGTATTCGCGCTAGCAGGTTCTACAAGCCCTCTGTCCCACGCGTCTAATCAGCTCGTGTAGTTCACCGGTTCCACCGAAAACTCTCAAACAAAGTGGAGTATAGTGTGCTTTTGCAGGTAGTTAGCCGCTTTATCTGTAGGAAAAGACCTTAGGCTGTACAACAATTCCGCTATTCTCCCTTTCAAGTAGGGGTCAACGGAGCTTTAATACTTTTACAAACAAAGCTCACATTTCTCCTCGAAAAAATTTGTGGTCTCTCGTTTTAGTTTTTTTTTTCAATTTATTCGTAAAGTATGTTTCCTTAAATAATGATATGCTATTTTAATCGTTTTCAAATATAAAATTCGTTAAGAACAATTATAAGCTGATTTTTCTTTTGTGATAATACTAGTAATTGTAGTTTACTTTTCAAGTCGTCGTTTTGGCAAAAATTTATAGCATTAAACCTAACGATGTTGATGAAAGGTTAGGCATGGTTGAGGAACCATATAGAGAAAACTAAGACTCATTTGAAAAGGGTGATTTTATTTTACCTTCATGCTTGGGTTGTCGTGTTTGCATTAAATTTCTGAGATAGTTTTAAAAATTCCTATACGATTTCATTGTTCTTTTCATGTTTTTGGGAGTTAGAAAACTCGATTTTGGGCAACGTTTTTTAGACGTTGATAGTTTATCTTATATCAATAATGAAATTTAGTTGTGGAATTGTCTTGCATAATCTAAGATTGTTTTGTTTAACCTCTATATATATTTTAGTCACAATGCAGTTTAGCCAAAAGTATAAGTTCTTCTATACATAAAATCAGTTAAAAGATAAACTATATATAAATGAAAATATACTATCACCTTATTCTTTATTTTCTTTTAGTTTTTATTAATTGTAGTTGCTAAAACAGATGGCAATTCAATGATGAATGTTTCAAAATGATCTGTTTGACCTCTCAATATATCATGGAATATATATATATATATACTAGTTTCACGGCACGTGCGTTGCATGTGTGTATCATATCATATAGTATACGATGTTGTAAAATAACATCAATATTATTAAATTAAAGTTTTTTAGTAAATAATTATAACGGAGAGAATATTGACAAGTGCTTTTAAATGATTAATATAGATTTTAATAGAGTTAATTGTTTTTTGAGATAAAAATTACGAGATATCATTGAAACATTTAAAAATGCATTCAAAAAATTTTAATTTGGGGAAAAAGTAAAATTTCTCAAGTAGTATTGTTTTTTACTTTACTCAATTTGGTAAACAAACTTAACCAACAAAACAGAAAAATATTGTCAAGATAAAAAAAATGGTCAGCAAAATTTTTTCCTCTTGAGGTAATGACTATAAATAATGGACATCATTTAAGTAAAATTATTCTCTTAGATATTAATATTTGAAATTTAATATGTGCATGACACAAAGAACGATTGTCAGAAATATTTTAATAATTTATCTTTAAACGTTATATATCTTTTACAAAATATTATTATTGAATTAATATTTTTGTAAGACTATGATATAGATGTAATTTTACAAAAACAAAAAGTGTACTTATATAGTGAATGTCAATACTTTTATACGTAGAATGTTATAGAGAAAAATATATTACGTCAATAATTAGTTCTAAAGAAATTATCCTTATTTTGCCGCATAACATATCATATAGATGTTGTCTTATAAGAGTATCTAGTATCTTATAGATGTTCTATCGTGATATAAAACATTTAAACTTTTTCAATTAAAAAATTAAAAGATGAATAAAAGTTGAAGTATTATTTATAGAATCTTTAATTTGATTTAAGATCATTTTATGATTAATCACAATTTTCTTATCATTTTTATATAGCTAGAAAAGAGTGTATCTTATGACATAACATTTTCTTAGATCAAAATGAACACAAAATAACAAGAAATTCATACTTAAAAAAATCATACTCAATGTAAATATAAAAAAGTAAAAATATGTGGATCAATTAATAGCCAATGAAGAAGGAAGGCGAAAATATATGTTCATGATATATTCACCCTAGTGTTTCATTTGATTGAAATCTCTTGCCACCAACACTTTACTTTCTCCGTTCATTTTTACTTAAATATTTGTTAAAAAATATTTATTATCATGGTTATATTATCATATTATAAGCAAAAGTGAAAATCTATTTTTGAAACAGTAGACTTAACATCAAAACTACTAATTCAATGAGTTGTGACCTTTTTGAAGGGTTGTGACTTTTCGGAAGAGTTGTGACTTTTCCAAAGGGTTGTGACATTTCCAAAGAGTTATGACTTTTCCGATGAGTTGTGACCTTTCTGAAGGGTTGTGAATTTTCTAAAGGCTTGTGACATCTTTTTGATAAAGCACAATAAGTAGTTTTTCATACACTACCCTTTGTTGGCTATTAAAAGAGCGGCTTCCTCAAATTTTTAAACTACATTTTAAAAAAAAATATTCATTATTCTTCTTCTTCTCCTTAAAACATCCTATTTAGTATATCTTCTAATTTTTATGACAAGGAACAATATGCACATACTAATACTACACATTTTAACTATAAATGGAGGGGTTTCCTCATATTTTAAACTACGTTTTCTTTATGTTTTTTGTTCTTCTTTTCTTAAAACCTCAAAGATTGATCTATAGATGTTGACAATCTCAACGGTTAGTGAAATTAGGATACTCCCTAACATGAATATTAATTAATCTAATATTCCATCTAAAAACATCAAATTTAGTATATCTTCTATATTTTATAACATATTTATATTATATTATATTATATTAAAAGTAAGAACACCAACAATACAATAATAACAAAGTAATGCACTATAGAGAAGGGAGGAGAAAGTATATAAAAGAGGTGAAACTAAGAGATTATAAGAGTGGTTAATTTTTTATTTTAATAACGTTCACGTTATTTTTAAAAATAGTGTGATACGTGGTTTGATATTCACGTGCAATGCACGTGCGTCAAAACTAGTTACCTTAAAAATATTACCTTAAAAGCATGAACTCCTAACTTGAATGTTAAATTACTATAATATCCCTAACTTATATATTACCTTAAAAGCATGAACTCCTAACTTGAATGTTAAATTACTATAATATCCCTAACTTAGGTTGTGACTTTTCCGAAAAGTTGTGACTTTTTTCGAAGGGTTGTGATTTTTCGATGAGTTGTGACTTTTTCAATAAGTTATGACTTTTCCAAAGAGTTGTAACTTTTCCAAGGGTTGTGACTTTTCAGATAAGACACAAAAAAACATTTGTTCATACTACCTTCTTCTTCGTTCGAAGTTTAGCGGAATATGAGGTACCACTATTCTGATGAAGTAAGTCGTTCTATCCTAAGAAGGTATATTACATAACCTCGAGTACTTCAAGAAAATAATTTTGATGATATAATAATTATTTTTTTGCTTAATATATACATTAGTATGTAATGTTCCAATATATGAAGTTAACATGATGATGTAGTCTAAATTCATTTGTTTTTGTGTAGATATATGCTTCTAAATATCTTTTCCAAAATTTAGAGATTTGTCACGATTTGTTTTTGATGCTCAAGACAAAAGAATGACTTTATTTATCAATGTTACTTATGTGATTTAGACTCTCAAGAAGTTTGCTTCAAAATAGTTATTACTATATAAACATTGTCATTTTGTTTTACTTATTTACTATTTTTTAATATTTCAGTATTTTAGACGAAGAAAATTTCATATCACTTGTAATAACGCCAGTTGAAGTTTGTATTAGTTTAATTTCTATTATTTATTTAATAGTTAATTTTATGAGATAAATATTTTCATTAATGCAAATATATATTTATATTTGGGTAGGTATTTATATTTAAATTAAAGTATTATATATGTCACAAATGTATTATCAAGTTAACGAGATCTTCTAACTTCAAAATATATTATTTTAAAATGTTTTGAGTTTTTTTTATCCCAACAAATGTGAAAATATGTGGATATATAAAATGTAGTTATTCTCTTCACATGTTCATATGACATTTAAACAATTTAACGTGGAATACACATGTAAAACACATTTAGTTAGATGACAAGAAAAATACACAGCAAATATTGTCTATAAGTTAATATTAATGAGATAAGACTATTTACATACCTCATCAAATTGAAATAAATATATACATTATTGCATCTAACTAATAAAAATTTTCATTGACTATCTTCATAGGTTTGCGTGAATAAGAGATATAGATGACGATCCACATTGAACATTTACAAAAGAATCTGCAATATTATTTTTTGCTATGCTTATTATTCAAATCTTCGCTTAAATAAGCAATACTATTTACTATAACATATATTTTTGAAATTGGTAAGTCAAAAAATTAGTTATTTTAAAGCTTCTTATTAACTACACAAAGCTAAAATAAAATCACTATATTAAACATAATTTTTCTTAAAATAGTGTAAAACTAGTGAATGGGCCAGAGACTTTGAGTCAATGGCGGCTGGACACGTCGGTATTAGTCAGATATTACTAAATATTTATTTATATTACTATATATGAATGAATAATATTTAGACTTTGGGAGTTTTGTTTCTTATTTATACACCCAAATCTAGGCGGAATTGTGATTTTTCATCGAAATTTTGGAATTTTTTTTGCTTTTGATCGAAGCCAGAAATTGTGATTATTGATTGTGGATTAAGGAATTTTGGTGTGGAATTGAAATGGATGGGAATAATTGGAGGGCCGCTCAGGCTCAGGGAGGTGGTGAAGGTGGCGGAGCGGCTGCCGGAGCTATGGATTCCGGTGATTGGAGGACTCAACTTTTGCCTGATTCGCGTCAAAGGATTGTGAACAAGATGTAAGCTTTTTCTATTTTTGGTTTTGCGACTTGTTCTTATTTTTTCATTTGTTAAAAGGATTTGGAATTTTGAATTTTAGGGCTTTTTTTTTGTGTGTGTTTTATCGGTTATCTGAAGAAACCCCATTTCTTTAGAAGTATTGATTAATCAATCTGATACATGTTTTTTTCAGTGTTTTTCTGTTTTATGGAAACTCACTTTATCAGGTGAATTTTGGGGTTTTTTTTGTTAATGGTATTGGGTGAGTTAATTGGAAGTTTATGCCGTAGTTATTTCCAATTTTGGTAATCAGTCAAGGGTAACAGATGCGTACACTCTAACCCCACGTATGGGATTACACTAGGTATGTTGTTGTTGTTGGGGATGGGGGTGGTGTGGTGGATCAGTCAAGGAACTAGTTAAAGTGGGACAACCTAGTTTTACTCGCTGTGCTTTATATTTTGTTTTAGATATGTCGAAATGGTAGGTTGTTGTTCGCGATAATTGGATTATAACTACTTATATTTGTTTAGAGGAAATAAGTTTTAGTCTTTTGTAGCAGGGCGTGATGTCGAATTGTTTTTAATATATTTGAGAAGTATTTATCTAGATTGTTCTTTTATCAAGAGTTTATGTTGATCTTTTGTTGATATGATTGTATAGAATGGAGACCTTAAAGAGGCATCTTCCTGTTTCTGGGCAAGAAGGAGTACAGGAGCTTAAGAAAATTGCTGTGAGGTTTGAAGAAAAGATCTATTCTGCTGCTACAAGTCAGGTATGTAGTTTAAACTTGTTTCTTATTTGTTCGAATTGTAAAGCTAGCTCATAAACCACCCTTGCCTTTTTCATCCGAAATTATACTTTTGATGCAATTTGTTTTTCAAGACCATATAAGGGAATCACTCATCCCTTTTTCATCCAATGTGGGACTCTTGTTTCAATTTGTTCTCCGAGACCATAGAAGCCCATCCCTTTCATCTGATTTGGGACTCTTGATGCAATTTGTTTTTCAAGACCATATAAGGGAATCACTCATCCCTTTTTCATCCAATGTGGGACTCTTGTTTCAATTTGTTCTCCGAGACCATAGAAGCCCATCCCTTTCATCTGATTTGGGACTCTTGATGCAATTTGTTCTCCAAAACCATACAAGGAAACCACCCATTTATCCGATGTGTGATTCTTCTACATAAATGATTCAATTTTTTCTCCTCTTCATTGATGTTATTCCTGCTTGTATAAACTTGCATTCGTCTTTCCAGTCATCTAGACGCATTGTATTAGGGATGGCAAGCGGACCGGTACAGTGCGGTTGCGGGCCAAACCCGCATAATCCTGCGAAGATTTTGACCCCCCACCCATATCATTATGTTTATGTAGATTTTCGCACTCCTAAACAAACACATGAATCACTAGTTTAGCAATTTTACTAAGACATTGCTGACATTAAAAATAATAATTGGATATTCTTATATTTGCTCTCATCAAGGTTTTTATAACAGGGAAATGGAAGAGCCTGATACTATATATAGTTCATTTTAAGCATGAAATCTGTAAATCTTATTTAATTGGTAATCTATTTAAGTAAAATTACCTATTACAGTGATGTCAAGAACAAAAAAACAGGGTTAATTCTGCATATTGACATGTTTTTCTCACACGTAAATGTTATAGTATCATATTAATTATTATTCCCCAAGAGTGCTCACTATATATATATATTATTATTTTTTTTAATTTTAATTTTTATTTTTGATAACCGAGAAATCCGTCTGTGACCCTCCACCCTTTGGACCAACCACAGCCTTCTAAACTCGGTGGATAATGGGCCCGCTAAGGCTGGGCACCGGAACGGGTTGTACCGGTACCATTCCGGTTCGTTCCGGTCCGGTAGTATTCCGAACGGGATGGGATACATTGAACCGGTACACGGAACGGAACGGTACCATGATTTGGTACCGGTATACCGGTACCAAATCATGGTACCGTTCCGTTCCGTGTACCGGTTCAATGTATCCCATCCCGTTCGGAATACTACCGGACCGGAACGGGACGGTTTGACCGGGTTGTTGACCGGTACCGGGATGACCCGGACCGGAACTACCGGGATGGAGGCTCGGTTCCGTCCAGTCCCACTATATACCCGGAATGGACCCGGAACGGAACGGGGTAAACGGGACTGCACATATAGCTATTTCAAAAAATAATTATTTTTTGAAATAGCTATATGTGCAGTCCCGTTTATCCCGTTCCGTTCCGGTCCATTCCGGTATATAGTGGGACTGGACGGAACCGAGCCTCCATCCCGGTAGTTCCGGTCCGGTTCATCCCGGTACCGGTCAACAACCCGGTCAAACCGTCCCGTTCCGGTCCGGTTCCGGTTCGTTCCGGTCCGGTGCCCAGCCTTAGGGCCCGCCCCTCTACCCTTCTCCACTTAAATACCTAGCTTCGTTTTGCATGGTGTGGGGCTTGAATCTGCAACCTAAGTCACAAATCCTCCACCTTTTGCCACTCGAGCTATGCCTTGGGGGCAGTGCTTACTATATATTTGTCAACACAAAATGGATAGAATCAAGTTATATGGAATTAAATTAAATAATTTCATATTTGAGTGACCACATAGATTCACAAAATCTACTTCACTAATTTTTATACTGACCACCACAAAAAAATAATTTAGATCTAATTTGAATGTATTTGCACGCCTAAGCAACCTCCACGAAGTAGGTTTAAGGTCTGTGTAAACTCTATCCTTCCCAGATTTGGTTGCTCGCCTAAGGAAGTTTAGTACTAAGAACTTAATTTCTTTTTTTGTTCTTGTTCAAACCGCTGCTTGGAGATTCTTTACTTCAGCCGACGCCCGAGCGTCTATCGGAAACGATCTCTCTATCTTTATGAGGTAGTGGTAAGGTCTGTGTACACTCCTCACCCTCCCCAAACACACTTGTGGGAGTTACACTGGATACGTTGTTGTTTAAACCCCCTTCATAGTTCTGCAACCCGCCCCACGCTGCATCAGTGTTTTTAAAAAAATATTTGAACCCGCCCTGCATAGCCTACCCTCAGTTTGCCAACCCTATGTTGTATGTATTTTAACTTATATTTATCTAATATTGCAGCAAGATTATCTTCGGAAGATATCTTTAAAGATGCTGACCATGGAAACAAAATCTCAAACTCCTATGACCAATTCTGTTCAGCCAAATCCTGCAAGTAGTGGTCAGAATGCCCTTGGTCCAGGTGAACAATGAAATCTCATGTGCTGTATTTCAAATAGGGAAATCTTGTCTGACAGGACGTTTTGTATAAACCTAATTACTTCGTTCTGCTGTTGAAAAGTTTGCTCTCCGTAGCTAATAAGCGTAAAGGAAATTTTAGATACTTGAACCATTGTGCTAATCTTTGAGTGATCTAAAATTTTGGTGACTAGCCCTAATAAGTATTGTTTGTGCTCTAGGTCAGAGTCCTAGCCCTGCTCTTTCTCTATATCCAGACTATTCTTTTCTTATTAGCTAACCAAGATAAGGGACAGAAGAAAAGCTTATGATTTACAGTACTACATGCTGTTGTTTATTTGTCTAATAAATAACTTAGTCAAAGTTCTCTTTTGTATTTTTGAATCAGTTTTCACAAAGCAATGACTTCTGTTTCTTGTATCTTCAACTAAAAAATACGTGTTTACATTTGTTGCTTGTTGTATTTTATTTTAATGTTATTATGTTTGCTAGTTATTTGATAGCATCTTGACTGGCTTCTTTTTGATTCATTTCTGTAGGATCGCATGGTATGCAATCCCAAGTTAACGGCCAAGCACAGCAACTTCCTGTACCTATGGTGGCCAATCAAACTCAAACACGACAACCACTGTTGCAGCAAAACCTTCAGAACAATATGGCATCAACTGGGCTGCAAATTTCTGCTAGCTTGGCTCCATCACTTCCTTCTGTGAGTAATTTGACGCAGGGTACCATGCCAAATGTCGTGGGCCAGAATTCAAATTTGCAAACCATGCAAAACATGCCAAATGTTGGTCAAAACTTAGTAGGAAATGCCATTGGGCAAGGCATGCCACCTAATATGGTTGCTAATTCTCAGAGGCAGATGCAGGGAAGACAACAACAGGTTGTTTCTCAACAGCAACAGCAGCAGTCCCAGACAACACAGCAATATCTTTACCAGCAGCAACTGCATCAGCATCAAATGATGAAGCAGAAATTTCAGCCGGGAAGCACATCACAGTCCTTGATGCAATCTCACATGCAGCAACAGCAACAGCAACAGCCTCAGGAGCAGCAGCAACAACCGCCACAGCAGCAACAAAACCTTCTACAACCTACTCAGACACAACCTTCTCAGCAAGCTATGATGCAACCTTCTTCAATACAATCAACTTCTTTGTCCAACCTTCAGCAGAATCAACAGTCAACTGCTCAACAGTCAACTCAATCTGTACTTCACCAACGGCAACAATCAGTTATGAGACAGCAGCAGGCGCCCATGCTTCATCAACAGCAATCATCAATGCTACAGCAACCAATTTTACCAGCACAACAGCACCAACAACAACAGCAGCAGCAGCAGCAGCAGCAGCAGCTGATTGCACAACAGACAAATGTTGCAAATCTCCAGCAGAACCAATTGATGAGTCAACAGAATACAATGCCTGATGTGCAGCAGAGGCTAGTGGGCCAACAGAACAACTATAACAGTCTGCAGCAGCAGCAGTTACTTAATCCACAAAACAGCTTTCAAAATATGCATCAGCAGCAGTTGGGCTCTCAAAGTAATATTGCTGGGGTCCAGCAGCAACAGCTGTCTGGAAGTCAACAACCTGGTAACTCTGGCTTGACATCTAATCAGCACCCTATCCATTTGATGCAACAACCAAAAGTTCCTGTACAACAACAAATGCTGCAGAGTACTACAACCTTGTTACCAAATCAAGGTCAACAATCGCAGTCGCAGCCAGCACAACAGCAAATGATGTCTCAGAGCCAATCACAACCAGGACAGTTACAGCCACCTTTGGGTTTGCAGCAACAGGCGAATCAATTGCAAAGGGAGATGCAACAGAGGCTTCAACCATCAGCCCCCTTGCTTCAACAGCAGAATGTAATGGAACAGCAGAAGCAGCTATATCAATCACAAAGAGTCGCACCTGAAGCCTCATCAAGTATGTATTTTTCTTAATCAAAGATTTCAATTAGGTCTCATAAATCACTCTTTAGCAGTTTGTCATTCTTAGATATTTCCACTTTTCATGCCTTATGTGTGTGAAGGTATAGGACTTCTACACTATTTTAACCACTGGTTTACATTTTCTTTATGTAAAAATGACTAGTACTTGACTCCTTACAGCATTAAAATTTCAGGCAAGTTTTGGGATATGAAAGGTGATGGATATTTTAGATAATATTCATACTTATCTGAAATACCCAACACCTTTCATATCCCAAAATTTGCCTGAAATTTTAATGCTGTAGGGAGTCGAGTCCTTCAATATTTTTGTGCTAGCCTTAACTTTTGGTTTATTTGTAGCATCTTTAGATTCTACAGCTCAGACGGGAAATGCAAATGCAGCTGATTGGCAGGAGGAGGTTTACCAAAAGGTATTTTTTTTTCAATGGTATTTCTATATGCACGGGATGTTGAAAACTGAGGAAATTACTGGAAATTGTTGTTTTGGAAATTGACAAGTGAACTGTATTTTGATAAATTGACTGGTTGCAACAATATAAGAAGTAGCTGAATGCTGTGAAATATTTCCTGTGATTGATGGAGTAATAGAGGAGGTTTATCAAAATAAGTATTCAGCAAATTCATGGTCATACCCATTCCCGCAAAGCACTTTTACGGTGTTCCAATTCGTAGAAGAACTATGAAATTACGCTTATTACAGCTAACTTGTAAGAAATTGATTTATTCTCAATTGAGAAGTGAGGTATAACAACTATTATGCCTCAATGTTAATCAAGTTAGGGTCTGTTATATGAATTATTGTTGTCTATGTCGCTTTATTTGAGCTCTTCTCAATCCAATATTATAGCACTTGAATTTCCTTACACTTTCTACTGGCATAATTGAGAAGTGAAGTAAATAAATTGATTGGTTACACTTGTTTTTTGATGAAGTGATTATAAATAGTTGAATGTTGTTATGTATTGTCTGAATTCACGAGGTAATATGTCCGTAAGTTTGGGTCAGGGTCCTCATAATATGTCCTTAATTTGTTTCATTCCATGGAAACTAAAAAAATTATTGCTACATTAAAGGGTAAATCTATTCATGCAGGAAGTATATGCTTGCATATATGGCTATTAGAAAATATTGTTCTTTGTGAAAAGACACATTCATCTGTATTAGTTGGTAACTGCTTTTGTTTCTGTTTTTTGGGATAACACGAGAAATTCATTGTTTCCTGTTTTGAAATGTGGATGATAATGGGTCTGCCCCTCTAGCTTTTTGTACTTAAATACCCGACTTGGTTTACTAGCTAGGAGTGTAAGTTGGAATATTTTGAGTTGGCCAAGAATAAAGATATAACATCAACATGCCTTTTTACTTGTGAAGCTAACTACATTGTTGTTATTCATTGTTTACCCTCATTTTGCTTCACTGGTAATAAACGTGTAAAGTGAAAAAAAAATGATGTTCCCACACTAAACCATATTATATCTCCCAAACAATTATAGAAAAGTATATTCTAATTCCTGCTGGTTGGGCTGGTCTATTATCACATCTTGGAACTAGACCCTTGCTATGAGCATTGAGCAAAACGTGTACCAAGAAGCTGAAGGAAGCAAAGTTCAGTTTATTTTTTCATTCACATGTTGAATCATGTAAAATGGATTCTTTAATGAGTTTTAGTCTTCCTCTTCCACTTCACTTTTAACCTTTTTATCTGGAAGGTTCTTTCATGAGGATTCTCTAGTTTGTTCTCTACTGTATCGGAAAGTTGATCTAATTATTACCTATCCATATGGGAATGCAGTCTTGACATGTGCGCAATTCTGAGCTGATGCAAATTTTTAATGCAGATAAAGTCTATGAAGGAGTCGTATTTGGCAGAGCTCAATGATCTATACCACAAAATTGCTTCTAAAGTGCAACAGGTATGTCATCAACATTTTAATCCATTATTATCATTTTTGGAGCAATTCTACCAGCTGTGTATGGTGCAGCATGTTGGATACTAGTTTTTTTATATAATTTGAGATGTTAATAGTTCTTAGAAATCATTCTTCTTATGGGGACAGTACTTGCAATCATATATTTCTCCCCTACTTATCCTAATTGCTTCATCATAGTTCTAAATTATGGTTTGACTCCCTTGAAAGTTTTGTCAATTGACACACCATCATTTGCATGTAGCATGCACCAAGGTGTACTGCATTTGTATTATATTGGTTAGGTCATCCATAGCTAGGTTAACCAGTACTGGTATCAGGATAAATTTCATAAACCTATGGTTATTGGGAACTCCTCTCATCTATTTGCATGTTTCTCATACCTATTATAGCTCCTTCTTACATATATTCTCTGGCATTTCTAGTTGATACAAACTCCTTGATACGCCCATAGGTAATCCTAGAATATTATCTAACTGAGAACTGATGCAGAAAGCTCAAAACTCTAAATTCTCAGTTTTGCATCTTTGGTTCCTTTCCAGCCATCTTGAGAAACAGTTGTATCATACTGGGAATACATTGTAGTGCGGTTAATTCCTTTTTATTTCTTGCATCTGCATCATTTGTCTGTGTTGAAGCGTTGTGTATGATTGTGAAGTATAGGTGGAGGACACCATAAAATGAGCTATTTACACATATCTAGGTGAACACTGTGATGTAGATGCCACTTTTATGTTCCCTTGGGGGAAGGGTTCAAGGCTTCCCTAATTCTTCGGGCAAGGGCTTGATTTGTCTAAATTTTAAGAGCGCTTAAGTCAGCATTCTGTTGAATTGGGCACCTGGCTACTATGTTTTTTTTTTTTTTTTTGATAACCGAGAAATCCGTCTGTGACCCACCCTTTGGACCAATCATAGCGCCTTCTAAACTCGGTGGATAATGGGCCCGCCCCTCTACCTTTCTCCACTTAAATACCGGGCTTCGCTTTGCATGGTGTGGGGTTTGAACCTGCGACCTAAGCCACAAATCCTCCACCTTTTGCCACTTGAGCTAGGCCTTGGGGGCCACCTGGCTACTATGTTATTTATTTTTTATGTGGTTTTAAGTTTTACTCCCTTTTTCTTTGCTGTGGGAGGGAGGTACTTGAAGCATGACTTTTAAAAGTTTGCAAAGGGCAAGAAACAAGACTTTGACTAAACTGATTTTTTTTTCCTGATTTTAAGCATGATTCTCTTCCTCAGCGTCCTCAAAATGAGCAAATTGAAAAGCTCAAGATGTTCAAGATTACGCTGGAACGCATTGTGCTTTTCTTGCGGCTTAACAAGCAGGATATTCAACTTTCTCACAAGGAAAAGTTGGTTTCGGTTGAGAAGCACATAAGTTTCTTTCTTAGTTCCAATAGGCCGCGCAGCAAGCCTTCTTCTTCTCCACTGCAGGGACAACTTCCTCAGTCTTCCATGCAGCTTCAGCAACCACAATCTCTTGATGGTCAATCTAATCCATCGATGCAACCCGTACAGGGTTCCATGGCAGCAATGCCGCAGAATAATCTCACCAACTTGCAACATAATACCTTGTCTGGCGTACCGACAATTTCCAACTCCCAGCAACACATGATAAATACAGTACAGCCTGGTTCCACTGTGGATTTGGGACAGGGTAATTCATTGAGCTCACTGCAGCAGGTGGCTACTGGCTCTTTACAACAGAATCCTGTTAACAGTCCTCAACAAGTTAACATGAGCTCATTAGGCTCACAAAGTGGAACAAACCCCGTACAGGCAAACCTCGGTTCCCTACAGCAAAATTCAAACGCCCTGCAACAGTCACTTCCTAAGCAGCACGAGCAGCAAATGTTGCAGAACCAGCAATTAAGACAGCAATACCACCATAGGCATATGCAGCAGCAACTTTTTCAAAGACAGCAGATAATACAACAGCAGCAAGCGAAGCAACAGCAGACCTCGCTATTGCCAACCCACCAGATGTCTCAGCTTCAACAGATGACTGATGCTAATGACCTAAAGATAAGGCAGCAAATGGGGATAAAAACAGGAGTTTTACAGCAACAACAGTCAGTTGGCCAGCGTGTTGGATCTCATCATCCCCAATTGAAGCCAGGAATATCTTCACCTCAACTCCATCAAGCATTGTCTCCTCAGGTTACCCAACATCCTTCTCCACAAATTGACCAACAAAATATGTTGGCGTCTCTTACCAAAGCTGGGACTCCTCTCCAATCCGCAAGCTCACCATTTGTTGTCCCTTCTCCTTCAACTCCCTTGGCTCCATCTCCAATGCCGGGGGATTCTGAAAAAGTTTGTGCTGGCCTTGGATCACATACCACAGCTGGAAATATAATGCATCAGCAAGCTACTGTTGCTTCTGCACCTGCCCAATCCCTTGCAATTGGTACTCCTGGGATATCAGCCTCACCTTTGCTTGCTGAGTTTACTCCTCTAGATGGTACACATGCCAATGTCTCAGCTGCTGTTCCTGGCAGGTCAAGTGTTGAACAACCATTGGATCGCTTGATGAGAGCGGTTTGTATTATACCATTCTACTTAATTTATATCTTCAGTAATCCCAATAATCTGTCTTCATTTGATTTGACATATTTATTATTTCAGGTTAAAAACATGTCTGACAAAGCATTGCAGTCGTCAGTTCAAGACATCTGTTCAGTTGTCAGTATGAATGATAGAATAGCAGGATCTGCTCCAGGAAATGGATCAAGAGCAGCTGTTGGCGAAGATTTGGTTGCCATGACCAAATGTCGTCTCCAAGCGAGAAACTACTTTACGCAGGATGGACCTACAGGAACAAAGAAAATGAAGCGATATACAACTTCCAACGTTGTGTCGTCAAGCAGCAGTTTAAATGATAGTTTCTGGCAGCTGAATTATTCTGAAACACCTGAGTTAGAGTCAACAGCAACATCTAATGCCAAAAGACCTAAAATAGAGGTAATCTTCTGCTGCCTATTTACAGGACAAAAGTACAAAACTGCACGTCCAAACATGAGAGCTCCGCGGTAGACTATATTGGTTCTTAAAAGAAAAAGGAGGTCCATTCAGGTACACTTTAGAGTTAAAAAAGTAAAAACTGATCTTTGGCCATGACTGCTAGAGAGAGAGTAGAATGACCAAATGCAATATGGTGGAATATTTCCTGAAGTTTCAGCTTTCATGCAAACTGAAACTCGACTCAAAGTGGTTTTTAACAATCATTCCATGTGCCTGCTCTTTCATTTAATTGATTATGTTTCTGCAACTGGAACTTCAACCCCAAACTACCACTTATAGTTCTGTTCTGAAAACTTTGATGGCTATGGTAGAATATTGTATGGGAAAATCAAACATTACTTTATGTGAATGAGACATGAGTTTTACTTCTTTAGTACTCTTGCAGCTTGTGAGTATGTCTAAATAATCTGAACAAAGTATAAGATGACTGTCTAGAATAAAACAAATGCATTATATTGAATGCTATATGCAACCTGAGACTTTCAGTTGGCTGCTCAGTCTTTGTACCAGACTGTCATTCAGTGTCTGCTCCTTCAACATATGATAATGCCCAATCCATACCACAAACTTCCCGGCTCTTAAGTGTCCCTTAGCCTTACTGTGCCTGAGCAGCACTCGATACAAATCTATACGGAAACAATAATAATATGCCTTCTATCTATATGTTTTCAATAGTATCCCTTTTGTAGCAACTAGTGTGTGAATATATTCTAGTGGTGAACTAAAACCGAGGTGGAAGTTGTACTCAGATGTCTAGTTACTGCCTATTTATGAACTATTTTGACTTGAATCCCCAACTGCACCTCATTTTATTGCTAGGCTCTTTGGCATTTAGATTGACACAGAACACTTGGTCCTTGCATTTTCATATTGGGTTTCTTTATGCCTGGATTCACCCTACCTTTTTTGTTATATTATAAACAATGTGAATCACTTGAATCCCACCTAATCATTTGATAGAGTAATTGTATTTCGAGTAAATTTCTTCAACAGGAAAAGCAGAAATACAAACTGAAAACATTCCAAGCTTTGGAAGGATACAGGGCAATAGGCATTATAATTTTTAAGACTCGAGAATATAAAGCAACTTTGCTTCTAGGCAGCATGTGAACCAACATTCTGGAATGGTGTTTTTATTCCGTAAAGCTTTGCATTTATGGGAAAATGAGTTATTTTTGTTATTTCGGTTGTCACATGGGTGCATTTCATCCTCTCTTTTTTTCATGATCAGACATCCAATGTTTGTTGATGTAAGATGGAGTGTTTGATCACAAAAATGTTATCTTTTTCAGATGCTGACTTCCTTGATCTTGCATTCATATTGATGTGTTGATCTTTGACAAGGAAATTGCTTTACTTGTCAACTTTTGGTTTCTCCAGCTTTACCTTGTAAATAACAGTAATTAGTACTATATTGTAGGTTAATATTGCACTGGTTGAAGAGATACAGAAAATCAATTGGCAACTTATCGACACTGTTGTAGAAATTAGTGACGAAGGTGTTGATCCAAGTGCTCTTGCTGCTGCAACAGAGGGCGGTGAAGGCACTACTGTTAAGTGTTCTTTCACCGCCGTTGCGTTGAGTCCAAACTTAAAAGCACTGTATGCTTCAGCGCAGATGGTAAGATATTGATCTTCATATACTGAACTTCTGTCATCAACTACTAATCACAAAAAGAAAATCAGTCATCAGCTCTTTTACATTTTTTGTTTCTTTGGTTGAATGATGGTATTTTACTTCTGTGCAGTCTCCAATTCAGCCTTTGAGATTGCTCGTTCCAATTAATTATCCAAACTGCTCTCCGATTTTGTTGGACAAGTTTCCAGTTGAAGTCAGGTGAGTAAATTTGGCAGTCTTCTTGATAAGAGCAATTATAGTCCTTGTTATAAAATAAAAAAAGTAAGAGCAGTTATAACATATGAAGTCAAAAAAGCATTAATAGACCTGATTTTATGCCGTATTCATTATACCTTGTTGATTTGTGAAAAAGGCCTTACAATTTGAATTCTCTAATGGCCAATCATAAAAGATTTTGTACATGTGCCTTTTGATCTGCGTTAAGATTATCAACTAGGTTTTGAAAATCACCTTATGCAATCTTATAGTCTCCACTTTTAACTCCTATGTGATACATTTAAAAACTGCGTTTCAACTATTTTCTTCTGCAGTAAAGAGTATGAAGATCTATCCACGAAGGCCAAGTCAAGGTTTAGTGTCTCCCTGCGAAGTCTTTCACAGCCAATGTCTTTAAAAGACATAGCCAAGACTTGGGATGTTTGTGCTCGTGCTGTAATTTGTGAATATGCACAGCAAAGTGGAGGAGGAACCTTCAGCTCAAAGTACGGGTCTTGGGAGAATTGTTCGACTGCAGCATAATCAAAGACGGAATTATGAGGTTTTCTTCATCCGCCTTCGGCCTTGCTCTCCTGCTGCTACCTCCTATTTACTGATGGTGATTGCGTAATTGTCGTCTTCTTGAATTGAATGCTGAGATTCATTCTCATATGCTGGTTGTTGCTGGATAAGTTTTTGTACCCCCTTGAGTTGTTTGTACTCAAGTGTGTGGATTTTGGTTGGGATAATTGATTTCGGGATAACTTATTCCCCAACCAAATGTGCCCTTGGTGAAATTTTAAGGTTTTAAAACATTGTTTTTTTTTATGGCTTGTTCATTGTGGTGATCTGCCTTGATTCATTTTGGAACCATATGAAGTTTATAAATGGGGCTCTTACATGATTACAGGAGGAGGAAGTTATAGATATATATCGTTCGACCAACTAATTTACCAACATAACAAAATATATATCTGTATGTATAGGTATATGAGTATTTAGTATGAAGTGTGTGCAACTTGTACACTTTGTACATATTTTGTTAGTTAGTTAGTCGAAGTGTTTAGGGTCGTAATTATTCCTAAAAGGATTATCTGCCTATGCTCATTTACGTCCTTACAGATTCTCTCAATTTTTGCCTCTTGTCAGAATTATAGTTATAATTTTTAGTTGAACTTATGAGTAAAACTCAGAATTATTTATTTGCAAAATAAAAGAAGTAGAAAGAAAAAGTGTCAAAATGTTTTGATTAAACTTGATATTGAACTAATTGATTAAACTAAACCTGGTGGGACGGTTGAGATTCCTATATTCTTAATAAGGTGTTTCGAATTTGAGTTTTGGGAATGAAAGAAATTTTATTGCGAATAATACCACCATTATAAAATCTATAAAGCGAATCCGAATTCATCCAACTGCAATATAAATATGCTATAGAATGATAAAAAAAAAAATCAATTATTATCAAACTAGTGACTTTAATACATGGCACTACTAATCTATAGAATAAGACAACATTATATGATAGAATCTTGAAAATTAAATATAGTGATAAGACATTTTGTTTGGATAATCATTTTTTTAAGGACTAATCACACGCAATTCGAAATTAGTACTGTAGTAAATAATAAACTCATACATATTCCTATCATTCTCATTTCTCTACGTATGAGTTTTGGGAATGAAAGAAATTATATTGTGGATAATATTTCATAAATCAATTTTATAATGCACGAAATTTAATTTTCAGAATGAATTATTTTTTTAAAGAAATCAATTATAATCAAGATTGAACTAGTGACTTTAATACGTGACATTAGTAATTTATAATATAAAACAACATTATATGATAGAATCTTGAAAATTCAATAGTCATAAAACATTTTCTTTGGATAATCATTTTTAAGGACTAATGACACACAATTCGAAATTTAGTAGTATTTAATAAACTCATATTCCTATCATTCTCTACTAAAATAACAAGTTTCTATTTGTGATAAGGTTTCTGAGCATTCCCTTTCTTAATCTAACAACTTTTGTTTAACTAACTTCTTTTATTAGAAACACCTTAGCAAAACAATTAAAAGCACAAAAATAGATTTGATTGTTTGTGTTCTCATCTTAATATTTTTCGTGACAAATTTAAGATCATAAAATTATGTTAGATATATATTATTCTCTGTAAATTTTATATGTGTATTATATTTGATATATTATTATTGTTGTAATGACAAGTGTAAGACTATAAAATTTAAAAGATTAAAAATATTATTAATTTACGATCAAATATTGGTAAGTTTTTCTTTAAATTTAAATTATGTGTCAAAACAAACTAAGACACTTAAATTAGAACGAAACTAATAAATTATTTTTTCTTAGTTTCTCACTCAATAATTGATATCCGCATTGAAACATGATTAAATTCAAAATGTCTTTAGTATTTTTTTTTAATGTGGAATGTTAAAACACTCCTTAATAATTACGACTTTACATCCACATCTCAAATTCAAAATCTCAAAATAAGTTAATAGATTCACAATCGTTATTCACATGAAAATCCAAGTGAATTTAAATTTATGTCCAAAAAAAATACTTATATTAACGGTTAACGTGCTTCTTAATTAACACGACATCATATACAAACTCAAAACTTCTCAATGTATTAACTTACTATTCATATTCAATTAATAAAAGAACTTTAATTTATTGTTCATTTTTGTCCTCAACTTTTCCTTTTCAGAGCGAGTAATATACATCACATTCAGGTCTCGAATTTAATTTTTTTCCATATATTAACTACTGCTACTACAACATTCAAATTCAGATTCAAATATTAGAAAAAATTTCATTCATTGTTCATTTTTGCCCTCTATTTTTTTCTTTTTAAAGTTGATAGTCCGACATCATATTTAAATCACAAGTTTATATTTTTTCCATTTATCAACTATTATTATAACATAGATTCAAATATTAGAAAAGTTTTAATTTATTGTCCACTTTTGTCCTATATTTTTCCCTAATACAACATTTTATTCAGATTGAGATTCAAATATTAGAAGAGTTTTAATTTATTGTCTGTTTTTGTCCTCTATTTTTCCCACTAATATAACATCCTATTCAGATTGAGATTCAAATATTAGAAGAGTTTTAATTTATTGTCCTTTTTGATAATTTTTTAATTTTAATTTTCCACATGACATGTTTTAAATCACAAGATTAAATAATATTTTAGTACACTTGACATATCTTTAATACAAATTAATTTTTTAAAAAACATTCTTTACTTTCTTAAACCCGAGCATCTTCTAGAAATCTTTTTATCTCCACGAGGTAAATGTATGATCTGCGTATATTCTATTCTTCTCATATCAAATATATTCAGTACTATTTATTTTTTAAATTTCTTACTAAATTAAAACATGATAAACAAATTAGAACGGAGGAAAATACATTGTTCAAATGTGGATAATAGAAAAGCTTTAATTCGTTATCCATTTTGGCCCTCTACTTTTTCAGTTTTCCCTCTCTAGAGCGAGTCAATTATTTAATTATTTTTCCCATTTCCCGCTACATATAATAACAAAAAAATATACTATAAAGGAGTGTGTGGGGAATGGGAAGAGGGAAATTCATCAAATTAACAAAAGCCAACCATTAAAAGCGGTCTCTATCTTCTGTTTCTTTCAATCCTTTGGGTGGCCGTACTCTCTCTCCCCAGTTGTTTTTTCACCTCTCTCTCTCTCCTCTTTCTCTCTCTTTCTGCCTTTCTCTCCATCAGAAAAAAGTTCACTGTAAGTTTTTTTTTTTCAGTTTTCTGCAAATCTGAGCTTTTTAAAACCCTAACTTTTGAAGAATTCCGAAATGTATGTGTGAATTTTTTTTGTTTTTTGTTTTGTTCATTTTTGTGTTGTGTGGAAATGCGGATGATTATATGAATGTACATGTATGGTTTTTTTTTTTTGGTGTGTGAATCGTATAGCTAGATTTGTTAATTGAATGCGTTGAATCTATGTTTTTGTTTTTGAATTTTCTGATCTGTTGTGGAAATGTTGGTGTGTTACCTGTAGATTAGGGTTTTGAAGTTTTTTTTTTTGTTTTAATAAATATGTACTAGGTTGGAGGAAATGTAGGTGAGAGTATTAATGTGTGAAGATGTTTATTGTAGTAGAATTAATTGAAATTAACTTTTGGAATTGATTGCAGGGCAATCATGAGCAACGAAGAAGAGAAAAGATGTCCTCTGTGTGCTGAAGAGATGGACTGGACAGATCAGCAGTTTAAGCCTTGCAAATGTGGTTATCAGGTATAGATTCTTTAGCCTTTTCTTTTGTTTTGAATTTCCTGTTATTTATTTTGGTTGAACTGAAATAATAGAGGAGAATGGGATATGGCATGTTTTGTGTTCTGGTTGGTAGATAGTGCTACTGGTATTGAATATATGTTATAATTGAACTGGTATAAACTAAATTTCATTTAAAAAATTATTTCAGTTGAACTAGTTTGCTATTATCTGGCGATTGTAGAAGATTTTTACATTTTTGTGCTAATTTATGTAGACATTTGCTGAGTCTGCTCCAGATTTCATGTATCTAGTATGCGTCTGCCACCTGTATTTGTATTTTTAAATTAGAAATCTTGGTTGGCTCAATCCTAGTTTCCTTTTAATTGCAGTTTTTGGTCTAAAACTTTTTTTACTTTATTGTGCTGATGAGAGAATAAATAACTTAATTACGAGCTTTATTTTGATGTGAACTATTGCTTTAGGTAAGACTAGATTAATGATAAATACATTTTGTGATATCAGGAAATTTCTCCTTTTTTGGTTATAGAATTAGTATATACACTGACGCTGTTCTTCAGCCTTATTTGCTTCTAATTGAATTGAATGAAAGTTTAATCTCAATAGTAAATTACATTCAATATTAGCCATGAGTTACTGTAATAGTGTTCACATATTTTTTTCATGAATACGACTGGAATGGTTTAGACTTCAGTGATCATTTGAGAATATTGATGTATCGACAGACTTAATTTTTGTCAGATTTGAAGTAGCTCCAGCTCCTAAGAGCAGTACATAGAAAACAGTTCCTCACGGGATGGCAACATGCTCTTTCAAGTTAATTAAAATGGATAAAAGATTCTTTCATTAAAATGTGACGTTTGCTTTGTCAAAAAAAATAAAAAAATAAAATGTGACGTTTGTTGTACACTGAATGCTATCTTTAATATTTAGAAAATGGGATAGAGTTCAGCTAGAGAAAGACCAATTGTATGCAATTTTTGTTTTTCTTCTTGACGAATATGATACTGAGTTTTTTCCCCAGAACTCAATTGGTTTCTAAGATCACTTCTGGTGCTATCCTTTTTTATTAGACCAATGTATTTTTCTTTAAATGAGGTTCCTGGTAAAGCTACATAAAGACTATTATTGTTATTTCTAGTTTTTAAATATTATTTTGTTGAACTAAGAAAATGTTGATGATTCATATTTAATTTTGATCCAGTTCATAATTTTTGAGCCGTCTAAAGTTAATTGAAAGAATAATTAGGTATATCATTGCTATCACACTTCCAAGTACTCGATGTGATGTTATCATCACTATTAGATTTTGTTGGAATCTTGGTAAGACAGCTCACTTGATAGTATGATATATTTAAGGAAGGAGTGCTAAAATGTGGACTTTCATAATTTTCTTTTTGTGGCTTATATTTTACTATTATTTATACAGGTGTGTCTTTGGTGTTGGCATCACATAATGGACATGGCAGAAAAAGATGAGTCAGAGGGACGATGTCCTGCATGTCGAACAACATACGAAAAGGAGAAAGTTGTTAGAATGCAAACAAATATTGAGAGGTTTTTTCCCTTGTGACTAATTTACTTTTTATGGTGTATGGAGATAGAAT